TCGCGCCGTCGAGCCGCCTCCTCCTCCCGCCGGCGCCGTTCCAGCAGCTGCAGCTTCCAACCCGGCACCGCCATCGCCTGCCGCGGGACGGGGCGATGCGGGGGTCGGGATGGGGGAGCGGGAGGGGATGGGGGGCAACGGTGGAGCTACTGCGGGTGAGGGAGGAACCAAGGATGGGGATTGAGGAATCAGGGATGGGGTTGGTGGAGGAACCAGGGATGGGGACCGGGATGGGGTTAGGGGGACACCGGAGCCACCAGGGATGGGGACGGGGATGGTGGAGGAACCAGGGATGGGGACAGGGATGATGTTAGAGGGACACCGGAGCCACCAGTGATGGGGACAAGGATGGTGGAGGAACCAGGGATGGGGTTGGAGATGGTGGAGCCACCAGGGATGGGGACCGGGATGGTGGAGCCACCAGGGATGGGGACCGGGATGGGGTTAGGGGGACAGCGGAGCCACCAGGGATGGGGACAGGGACAGGGGAGGAACCAGGGATGGGGATGAGGGATAGTGAAGACACCAAGGATGGGGACACTGGAGCCACCAGGGATGGGGACAAGGGATGCCAGAACCACCAGGGATGGGGACAGGGGGGTGGATGGTGGTGCCACCAGGGATGGGGAACACCAGGGCCACCGAGGATGGGGAGAGGGATGTTGGAGACACTGGGACAGGGGCCACCAGGGATGGGGACAGGGATATTGGTGGCCACTGGGATGGGGGACACCAGGACCACCAGGGAGGAGGGACATCAGGGCCACCGGGGAGCGGGGACAGGGATATTGGAGCCACTGGGACACCAGGACCACCTGGGATGGGGACAGGGGCCAGCAGGGCCACCAGGGACAGGGAGGTTGGTGGCCGCTGGGCCACCAGGGCCACCAGGGCCAGGCACAGGGAGGCTGGGGGCCACTGGGACAGGGTCTACCAGGGATGGGGGAAATCAGGGCCACCAGGGACAGGGATGTTGGTGGCCACTAGGACAGGGGCCACCAGGGATGGGGGAAATCAGGGCCACCAGGGATGAGAGACAGGGGTGTTGGAGCCACGAGGACACCAGGGCCACCAGGGATGGGGACAGGGAGGTTGGTGGCCGCTGGGCCACCAGGGATGGGGACAGGGGCCAGCAGAGCCACCAGGGATGGGGACAGGGATGTTGGTGGCCACTAGGACAGAGGCCACCAGGGATGGGGGACATCAGGGCCACCAGGGATGGGGGACAGGGGTGTTGGAGCCGCTGGGCCACCAGGGCCACCAGGGATGGGGACAGGGAGGTTGGTGGCCACTGGGCCAGGGGCCACCAGGGCTGGGGGCCACCAGTGCCGCCAGAGCTGCGGTGACAGAGCCACCAGTGCCGGGGACGGAGGGGGTGGCTGCTGGTGGGACGGGGAAGGGGGACGCTTGGGGACATCGGTCACCCGCACGCGGCCGAGGGGGGACCCAGGCGTCCGGGG